AAAAAAAAAAAAAAAAAAATAGGCAATTCAAAGGAATTAATTAAGGAGGCCGTAGGGGTAGATGGAGGAAGTTTCTTAGGAGATAAGGTTCCTCAATGGAGGCTCATATAGTTCGTTAAGATGACATAACCATTAGACAATTATATTTATTAAACATAAATATTTTTACATACAATGATGATATACTTTAGAAAATAACGTAATCAAAAGTGACATTTAAAATTATATGTTTTGTTATGAAGCCATCGGATGACTCGGCTTATGGAACCATCGGATGACTCGACTTATGGAGTCATCCATAGTCATCCACAAATGGTGTACTGACACGTATCTTGCAATAAATACACGATAGACACGTATCAATACATAAAGTTATGGATTGTTCCATAAGTGAACCATCTGATGGCTCAATAACATTCTTGTTAAAATTATAACTAAGCATTTTTATTAAAAAATTATGATGAATCATCCATCTGGCCATTAGCCATCTTACATAATAATTTGTGCCTAAATGTAGATTTTCCTCTTTTTTCTCCTCTTTTTTCCGTTTTCTTTTTTCCGTTTTCGTCTTTGGTGCAGCTGGATAGAAGTAAAGCGAGCCGAACCAAGCTCGAATACCTCATACCCGAACTCAAAGACTTACATGTTCACTAATCTAACCCGAGATCAATTCGTTTATCAATATTAACGAATCGATCTCAGTTAAGAGTTCAAGAAACTACATAAGAATCATATTCTCAACCTAACAAGCCTAGCTTTGTTCCACTGGTTAATTACACGAGCTCAAGCTCGGTGGGGTCTTTTGATAATTGAGTAGAGCCGAACGAAGCTCAGGGCAACTCATTTTGTTTAATAACGCAACATAAAAGGTAATGTAGTGGGCTAGCTAGACATGCCCACGGGCCAAAATGGCCCGTTAACCAATCCCGGCCTGGCAGTCCGAGCCGTTTCGGGCGATGGTGTTATTTTTTCTTTTTAAGGGCCGGCACTAACAACCGGCCCATAGTTTACTTCAGGCCGGTCACGGGCCATGATATTGAGGCCCGCTGACCCGGCAGGCCAGGTCGGGCCACGGCCCGGCCACCTCTAGGACTAGCAATCAGGGAAATAATAAAAGTTGGATCAAAATTAGTTAACAAGTAAACTCCAAAAGAAGGAAATAAAAAGGAAAATATGAAGTTCCCAAAAGAGAGGTTCCGCTAAGTTTACAAAAGGACTCGTGCAAACTGTCGACTATTCATAATCAGACTAAATCTCAAGAGTGTGTTCTCACTAAAATAGTACATTTGTTCTCACTAAAATAGTACATTTCTCACCGTCCAAACTGCAAACCACAAAACGCAACAATCATAATCAGTTTTCCCAAGTAAGACAGAGAGAAAAACAGAGTCGTTTATCCATACAATTACAAAAATGTTAATAAATTAACAAAAAAACATAGATGAATCACGTTAAGACCTTGCATCTCACCATGATTCAACGGACAAAACCTAATTTCGTAAAGATTAAAATAAAAAACCATTTAGAAACTTAAATAAAAGACCTAGCTTGAGATTTTCAATCTCAAGCTCGGCTTGGCTTGTTTACAGTCCTATGAGTCAGTGTTAGTCGATCTCGAAACTTATCAAACCATTTAGAAACTTAAATTACAAAATAATTATTGAATGTTTGATTTTCTTGGAATTGAATTGAATCCAACTAAGACTATCTTTACTCACAACCAATGTTCTAGAAGTTTCTAGGCGCTCGAACAGCGCCTAGATAAGTCCAAATTATAATGTTCATATATTAAACATGGTTACAAAATAATGTAATTGGTATTAAAAAAAAGAACTGGAAATTTGTCGCTGAGCCCACCTGGGAGCGCTTCGGCGCCGCGCAGACGCCTGGCTGTCGAGCCCGTCTAGAAGCACCTAGGCCCGCTTAGTTGCCTGACCGATTTTTTTCAGCCGATTATGCAAATCGGAGGCGGCCGGGCAGCTTCTAACGCCTGCCTTGGTCGATTTTTACTTAAAATGCTCACGATTCAACCTAACCTAACAATAAAAAGTTAGTTTTTTCTCATGCACCTATACAACCCAACCATACAAGCCAACTTATCTTTATCTCCAACCTAACCCAACTTAAAAAATTATTTTATTTTTATTTATTTATTTATTTATTAAGTATTATCTACGATTGATTTTTTGTTATTGTTTTAATTACAATAAATTAATTAAAAATCTATCATTAAAGTCGTAATAATTTCAAGAGATTAATATATTACATTACATTTAAAATTATGAACTCAATTAAAAATCGAAGTTACATAAATTGAAATAAAAAATATTAAAATTAATTAAACAAGTACAAACATTTTAAATAAAATCACATATCAATTCCCATTACCAAATGTTTCCCATATGTGCTCTACCAAATTATATTGTAGAGTTATGTGGCTTCTCTACACGAAGTTGTGACATATTACTCATACATGTGGATAGGTTTGTAAGTTTTTCAGACGAGTATTGAAACTGCATATCATCATCTTCTTCTTCTACTCAATTTCTTCTATTCTTCTATCGTTGCCTCCGTTCGTTTGTAAGCCTATCATTCATAAATTATGTGGTATCATAATAGTTTAAGTATGTGTTTCGTTCATCATCTAGTATCATATTATGCATGATGATACAAACTGTCACAATTCTTCCCAGAAAAAGATGATCACATACTAGGCATGGTCGTTTGATAAATGTGAAACGAGCTTGTAGAATACCAAATGCACGCTCAACGTCTTTTTTTAGCCGAATCATGGTGCTGAGAAAACAACTTATGGTTTCGAAGCTGTGGAGAAACAACTGATTTAACAAAAGCAACCCATGAAGGATGAGGTAATATCCCATATTACTTTCCCGACCATTCACAACGTACCTGATTTCTGGGGCATGACTGTTTGTCCCATTTTTGTGTCTTTATTTGGGTTTATTTTCTTTTTATTTTCCCTACTTGTAGGATTTTTGGAGTTTATTTGGTCCAATTTTGTGGTTTTGTGTTTTTTCTC